CCCCCCGCTTTTTGCCAGCTCCAATTTAATGTACGCACACAACCTTGACCCATTTTTGATGAAAACAATTCCTTATCCGCATCTAGGCTCATTTTGTGCAAACATTTTCTCTGTTCGGGCCTTCGTAAAACCTTAAATGAACTTTCTGACGCTTTCAACTCTCGTTCATGACAAGGAGACGGCAATAGGTTTTTTGCAAAGTCACGGAGTGATCCATTAGGAACGTTTATGCAATGCAGTGCCAGATCGAACTGCGGCCACTTTGATGGACACAATCCAGGTCTGCATCGCTCCTCGCTCAATCATCACCCCGATGTGAGGGCATCATACCAAGGAATTGAAACGATGATTGACATGAATTATGCTCATGAAACGGTTAATCATACCGAAAACTTTGTGGGTCCAACGACTGGAGCTCACACACAAATCCCTGAATCTCTTTGGCACGTCTACAAGATGCAGAATAAACGTCAACGTGGCACACACCGATCTTTAGTGGACAGCTACTTTTGTGAGTTCGTTTGGAGGCAAAGGTACCGAAAAACGGACCTTTTCATGCAAATTATTAATGACATGTCCCAATTTCACCCTCTTCAATAAAAGCTCTATGTACCAATTTCATATCCTCTTTTTTCTAAACTTATTTGGGTGGCGGAGGTTAATTTTTTGGCGGGGCTTATCTGGAAAAGATCCGCTTTTTGTTCATAACGAACGCATTGAACATACAGGCCACATTCAGATAAATGAAAACAACTGCATGAGGTTGACGTCGGCGGTTCCAGTGGCCAGTGGCGAAATGTATGGCAGTGCCTGTGATTCTGACACTGATCCGTTTCCCTTCAGCCTTTCTGTACTCTCAGCGCAGCCTCAGTGCTTCAGTCCCCTCCCTCACCAAGGAAGAGCATGACCGAAGTCCAGCCGATCCTAATAGCTGGATATCAGATCGATTGGACGGATGCGTTACATGCGGGCTAAGGACTAGACGAAGGCATGTCTTGATTGGTCAGAATTTCAGCCAGTCCGGATGAAGCATCTATGGCTAGACGCTTCTTGACCCCTCGCGAAGATTCTAACGCGATCTTGTGGAGCATTCTGTGATGGACCTAATCGGCTTTTGTCTCCATAAATGACTGTTTCAAGTTATCGTGCGTTTTGCTATGCCATCGTAGGCGAAGCAGGAAGTCAAGAACCAAGATAGTGGTTGCACCACCGACAGCAAGACACAACAAAACTTTTAGGGCTAATTCCTTATAACAGGTTCCTGAACTGAGCTCTCCAGAACACCACATTCTGGCTGTAAAAGAAACAAAAAATATCGACCTTGGTTGACCAGATTGACAGCTGCGGCGGCCAACATTCTGGATACTGACGTCAATTCACCCAAAAAACTCAGTCACTACGGCAACCCGGGTTGGTTACCCCGTCGCATCGATTGCGAGGCACACGGTGAGATTGTGTGGTACAACTTTCTCCGTAAGTATTTTAGAAAAAATGTAGTCTGGTTTGTGCTCTACACCGCATTCGCCTAAAATCTTCATATCTGTATGCTTGGAGAACGTTCACACGGCGATTGGGAGTGAAATCTGACTAGTTGCTATGGTGTTTCAGGCCTTCCGACCACACCAAATTTGACCTCCGTACGGTATCCGCGGGAAATTCACAGGTATCCACCTAAAGATGAATTCGTACGAGTCCAATGTAAGTTAACACACTTCAGTCTCTCCTCGTAGAGTCTGCCGCTTGTTTGTCAAGACAGACAGTGTGCACATCTAAGTGATGACCTCTGGAACATTTATGCTTCAGTGGATCATACAAACGCGACCGATAGTGTGACCTAAATGCACTTTTCATTAAGAGTTACACGGTAATGTGACACCGAAACAGCTGGATGAACGGTGGAATGTAGCCGGTTGCATTGACCCGTGTGAGATTCAGGCAAAACAGTGGGGGTAGGTGAGTTGAGAGTCCCTGGCTAGCCCCTCTGTTTCGATCCTCGCTTTTCCTAGGTCTCGGTTCTCAGATCGTCATGGACGAGTACTCGGATGGGATAATTCCAAACTGACCTCTAATTTGTTCATTGAGCTGGGCGATTTCATTGTAGATGTTTCATCACCAATCGAGGTGTCTTATTAGAGCATAGATGAGCGTAGCTCAGGCAACAAACCGACGGCCATCTACATCACCTGAGCTGGCAACACTGTGTTCAATAACTGCAGACTCATCGTCTCGAGCCAGCTGGAGTTTCGGTGTGGATGAGCTTACTTTTGGCTGCTTCCTCGAAAACGATAGAATTGATGCTGAAACTTTGATTCTTACTGTATTCCGCAGATGTCACGTTACCATGTCAACTGCGGTGCAAACACGAGTTTAAGCGACGCGATGAAACAGCGTGCAATCAAACAGAGTGACTTGAGTGTCTCGCACTAGTCCGGATGCATCTACGATTCACTATCGTAAAAGTGCACTTTGTCTGGCTGGACAAGGTACCGGTATGAAAAGACCTACGGCAGTACATGGCCCTACGAGCTTGCCGTTCAATGCCATCTACATACAAACAGTGGGCACCTTATGTGTACCGTGCACCAGTGTGTGTTAGGACTCGCAAAACCGTTTACCTGCGTTTTCAATACCACTTTGTGATCCCATCAGTTTCGGGTCAGACAAAGTCATCGTGTAGATATCGTGATCCTGGTTAGAGGTGTCCTGGCTCACCTGAACTCACCTCACGTCTTCCATTCATTCATTCATTCATTCATTCATTCACTCATCCATCCATCCATCCATCCATTCATCCATTCATTCATTCATTCATTCATTCACTCATCCATCCATCCATCCATCCATTCATCCATTCATTCATTCATTCATTCATTCACTCATCCATCCATCCATCCATCCATTCATCCATTCATTCATTCATTCATTCATTCACTCATCCATCCATCCATCCATCCATTCATCCATTCATTCATTCATTCATTCATTCACTCATCCATCCATCCATCCATCCATTCATCCATTCATTCATTCATTCATTCATTCACTCATCTCTTCATTCACCCCTTTATTCATTCACTCATTATACCATTGAACAAAAGATGGCATGACTACTTTCGAAAATTTACCTGTTATCTTTCTCTGTTTACCACTCGATAACATGTGATTCGGTCCGCGCAAACAGATCTTCATCGAATAACTGATTACCTTTGCAGTTCGTGTCACCAGATTGGAGTTTGACGTAAATTCACTGTTAATTAGTGCAATTCGTGCAAATCAAATCACTGGCAAGCTACACTGTGCTTTTTACCTGAGTATCGTGTGGTATTTAATCCCTCGTGAGGTAAATCGGTATAAAGTGAAACCGTGTTTCTAATTCACTCACCGCAAAGTGTGTCACGTACTTAATTCAAACCCTGTTTGTTGATACAATACAGTCACTCGTGCGAGTAGCCTGTTTATTCTCATTTTTTAATAGAAAATATTTCAACTACATCAATTCCACCAGTGGATAAATTCCAACAGCAACGCCTAGGCGCACGCGGCCGTTTTTTTACTTTGTGGTATTAGATATTCAGGAAAAAATTCAAGCCAACTGTGTCCCTGTTGCTAAGAGTGCATATGGGGAATCCACTAAAATAAATATCAAACTAACGAAAATGGTGAGCACTCCTAATGTCTCGCACAGCAGTCTCCCTCGGAAGCGAGTCTTCAATGGTTAATTTCAAATTTCGCGTGGGACCCAAATCAAACTTAGGTCTAGACTCATGTGACAGAGAAGGAGAGTATCACCTGATAGGTGCGCGACAAAGTGTAAGCCTATCGGTTTAAGTTCCACATTTCTACGCGCTAGGACCAGGGTTGTAACCTACGTTTTGTTTGAGGTGTGTACAACTATATAGCGTGTCCATTCCTGAACGGCCAAGAAAAATATCTGTTGCACGTGGACTGCATTCGTACTGCTCCTGATCGGTTTGCCAAATGTGACTGATGTGTACAACCCCGAGTTGTCGAATGTTGTTCTGCAGTTGCTGTGAGCAGAATGTTAGCCAAGGTTTTCAACGCAATTCAGTTGGTCACGCTTCAGATTAGGATACGGTAGCCTCATCCTCAGTCCTGAGCTGGTTTGTCCTTCAAGTCACGTGTGACTAATGCTGACTAATTCCCAAGGTCTTCTTGCATTTTCTGAGGAACAAATGAAATCTGTTTGTCCATACATCATCCGCAAACTACTGTTAATGGTATTAAAGCTGCTGAAAGTGTTGTGCAGCTCCGAAACATGGATTCATCTGATTTCAGTCGTGATCGATAAGACCTAATTGGTTTTTGATCGAATTTCACCGCGGGTAAGACCCGCTAGCGAGTAAATGTTAGCCAGTCAAGGCCGGACTGAAATAATCGATATATTACATAGATGAACAGCAATCGTGATTGATGAGCGCTCATACATCCGGGTGTAGGGAGGCATGAGATCTATTGAACACCACAACAGCCACCTCTCAGAGTTTGAAATTCCCCTACTATATTAAGTAAGTGTATGTTTGTGCAGTTCAAAATCCCGCGCACATTTTGTGTTATTAGTGGTGACAATACTGCGCGAAATCACCGAACATTTCTTTGGCGTATTGACGTAACATACTACTCACAAGGTTGCTCAAAACACCACAAACGAGACACTCAGCTGGGTTCCATTCCCCGCAAATCCAAACTTTGCTACAAATATGTGTAGTTCGCCCATTTCTAGGTGTGTTTTGCTCTATTTACTTCCGGCACGTCCAACTTGCTCGATTCAATGTGTCACACAAACTTAGGTCAGATGTACTCACTTCAGCAAGCAGTGATGTGTTGGACTTGAGCATCGCTAGCTTGTCAGCCGGTAGGCTTTTCCACGCCTCGTCGGTTGGAACGAAAAAGGTGGAATACAATGGAGAACTTCCTTGCTGCTGACTGACAAAAGGTTGATAGGTTCCAGTACTGCCAAGTTGAAACCACAGTTCTGCACTCGTTCTGTGGTGAATAGGAAACCGCCAGAAAGGTGGAACAAGTGAGAAGCAAATTACGAGAAAAAATCGTTCTTTTAGACGTCATACGCGGTCGAAACAGGGAAAGCATTCCTGAAAGCATTAAATCGGTGATGTGGTTAGCTAGCTTAAATTTTTCTTGGTTTATTTTCTTCCCAAGCATGTAAGTTACCCCCAAGTCAATATTATCTTTCTGCGTTCACTAACGAACGGAAAATCCCCGTTTGTCAAAACTGGGATCAAACGAGGCTGTACTACGTGATCAAAAAAGCTATTCTGTCTATTGATCTGTCCGTCACACTTGAACGCCATCAATCGATTAGATACCACCAGGGTGTGAATTGATGATATCTCCTCCAACGCTGACTAAACTTCAGCAGACCAATTGCCAACCTCGGCGAAACAGATCAATAACCACACGATCAGTGGCCAATAAACGTATCCAATCGATTAGTTTTTCAAAAGTGACTAAACGGAATCAATGGTCTCGTCGCGCGAGTATTGAGCCATTGTCACGGCTAATTTGAGGGAAGTGTTTATAGTGGATTTCTAACTTTGCGAAATTTAACTCATGTTCAAAACATTAAACGTAGGCAGTCAAACACATAAATGGCGGCAGTTTGCAGAGTTTAGAACCGTTATCCGCCTGTGCACTTTACCACTGTCGCCTTCCTATTGCAAACTGAGCAGTATGTACTTTGAACGTTGAAGTACCAAAAACTGGTTACAGATGTGCTTCAACCAAGACCTCTCAGGCGACTTGACCGTTATCCAAAAACTGGTTACAGATATGCTTCAACCAAGACCTCTCAGGCGACTTGCTAAGTGTTTTCCTGTCGTGTCGTTTAATTATACTTTTCTGAACAAGGTCAAATGGGAAACGGTCGTAAAGCCTGTCAACCAGCGGAGCGGAGCCATTCAAACTAGATCAGTTGCTTCGTCAAATACACTCACTAACACGCCAGTCTGGTATTTAAGAGAGATTCAAGTGAATCTCTTCGACTGAACGTGTCACTTCTTGTTTCGAGGCACACCAGTATACTATCCTGAAGGGAACTAATCTCAAGTTTGTGGAAAAATCATCGACAGTCCGCGATTGGTTTCGCCCCTCCTCTTCGGGCTCAGTCCCGAAATTGCTGTGCAGCTGAGCGCGTTCGGCGAATTCCGTTCAGTTTGGGTTCAAGCACAACATAAGTTTGACCGAAAGGAAACTCGAGGACGGCGCCCATCTGACGAACCCGAAGAGAAAGAGGGAACCCGGTCATAGACTGTCCAAGTGTTTTCAGCAACCTTGTAAGTAGTTTTATTCCGAGTTAATTGATATCCCGATTGACGAACCTTTGGTATTTGGAAACGCTAGCTAATAAAGAACATGATTAAAGGGATGAAAGATAGCATAGCTTTCGAAATTAAGCATTCAAACACAGAGTTCGATGAACGCGTGTCACTTACTGCAAGTTCTTTTGTTGCGAGATATACTCGTAGAAATTTGTGTTCTCCCAAGGCATGAACAGCATCTGGTTGATCACGTGAACCATACCGTTGCTAGCACTGATGTCCGGTTGAACCAGTCGAGCAACGTCAATAAAGTACACTAGATTTGTTCCTAGCTGAGTTTCAGAAAAGTACATCATGATTGTGAGATGGAATTTCCGGTAGACGGAGCGTGGTTTGAAAAGGCTGATTAAATCAAACTGTTTCTTTTTTCATGAAGGAAACTAGTGACAAAGTAGAATATCATGAATGAGAGATTCAGTTGAGTCTCTCGTGAAAACCAAATTGATTTGCAAATGAGTGTATTTTCCAAACTGATTCTTCTTGATTTCACTCACGCAGAGTATTCCGTTCTCTAGGAGAAAAACCAAAGGATATGAGGCCACTCCTCTTTGAAGTTTGATTGGCGACCAGACCGGATAGCATCGGACGAATTATTCGCACTTGTCGCGTCACTCGAGGCTTCTAAGGTATTTGCTGTAGCGAGATGGGAGCGGGAAGGTTCAAGTGGTTAGAGCGCGAATTTACTGACCGGTCCGTGGTTCGAACCCGACCTCCGCCTCTCGACATCCCATGTTTAGGCTTGAGCAACCTGGCAATATCCCGACCCTCGTGCTTCCGGCATGGCAGCTAGGCACCGGAAGGGTGCTACAGCTGAAAGGTCTACTCAACCGGCCGATCGTTATTTGGGGCAAATTCGAAAGTTTCAAACTCATTGAGGACACTGGGATGTAGCCACATTTCATATCAGCTCAAGGGATTAAGTGACCATATAATCCAGGCAGGTAATTTTCAGTCGATCGTTTGTCCTGTAAGTGAACTCAGTCGAGTCAGAGCTAATCATTTTGCTGTCAAATGCTCGTGGCAAAACGGTAAAGGTTTTCAACCACTGGCCACAAGGTCGTGGGTTTGAAACCCTCTGAGTTTCGATTCCAAACAAGGATGGAACAATTGTAGCTTTTCAGCATAGATCAAAATTACTTAGGGGACCAAATCTTCTCCCGTATCCACCAGTTGATTAGTAGCTCAGAGCAAGGATGCTTTCACTGGATGTGTGAAACTTCCATATGAGTGGTTGTCACTCGAGTAACCAGTCGATACGCACTGGGGTTTACGTGAATGAGTGCTCATCGGCACTCAAGACCAGACGGTGTCCATACCGCGTACAGGATAGTCGACTGTCAGAAGGTAATAATATATCACTGGTATATTTCAGTTAGGTCAATGATCCCAACTGAGAGAAATGCAGCGATAATCCAGTTGTAGATGGCAGCGGGATGTACAGTGTTCACGTTCACATCACTCTCTTTTGGACAGTCCTTGATCTGTTCAGCGACGATTCTTCTGGTGAGGCCGTACTGAAGGGGTGGCACTGAACTTGCGTTTCGCCCTTGGTAGCACTCACCACATGAGTACACCCGTGGCCCTGGAGTTATCCGTGTTTCGGTCACTGAGTGGTTTTGCGGAGTCCCTTGATTGACAACCCAGTAGCTTTGTGGCTGTGTCGATCGATTGATCTACATGTCAAAAGTTCCCAGTCAGGTAGCGCCTCCAAATGTACCAGACAATTCCAGATTACTCGTAGATATCTGGCCATAAAGTGAGTCTAATCCACAAAATCAAAACGTTACGAGAATAAAAGTGTTAGACCTTTTCAATTCAATGAGCCCAAGCGATATGATCAACCGTCCGGACACCAGCCGCCCCTAATAATCGAGCACCACGTCAGTTGGACGGATGTGTCACGTGCGGGCTACGGACCAAACAGAGGCATGCCCTGATTGGTCAGGGCGTCAGCCAATCTGGATCGAGCTCGATGCCTCTCACCCAACCAAGAAGATTCTAGCACGACCTTGTGAATGATAACCTATAAATGAGGGTGACCCTATGAATGCGGTTGTACTAATCTTTATTTGTTTCCGTAAAGGAATGTCTGAAGCTACCGTGCACTTTTGACATACCATATTGTGCGAAGCACGAAACCAAGGCCCGACAGAGAGTTGTGAGACCATTCGCCTTCAAAAAATGACCTCTTCATAAGGGAGAACTTTACTGATAAGTGGACTAGTTATCCGAATTGAATGCGTTAAAAACCACATTGCGAATTAATCCAGACTTGAAAATAAGTAAAATCAACTTACCTGAGACTGAAAGGCATAATGTGTGATGGAAAACCCAAAGGACACACTCCTTCCTGTACCGAATCCCACATCCTTCAGGTTTTGGGATGTGCCCATTTGTGACCAATCGACCGCCGTTATCCTTTTCGTGCCTGGATAAAGGTGAACGATAGCCGAATGTTTATACATCTAGCTATCACAACAAGGACATACTTGCCACTTACAAATAAATGAGAGGACTCATACGATGGACGATTTGTACACCCAGTCAAAGAACTTTGTCAAGTTTTCAGCAACCTTATAAGTAGTATGTTTAGACGATAGAACATACTCGTACCAACTGAAGCAGTGGCAAAACAACTGTCTGAATTCAGCGAATAGCCTGAGGACTCAGGGGAGGCTTCAGGGAGTTTCAAAATGACATGAAGTTTTGTGATACACTGTTTGCGTGTCTGCGCCTGAATGTTGCCACGGGAAGCCTCAAATAGAGAATACCGAGGGCGTAGGAGAGATTTCGCCTCGCATGAGCGTCGCCCGTTCACAAATATTGATTTTTAAGAATTTTATTCTCATATCCGTTGAGAAGTGAGATGGAACCAACACCGTTGGGGCACAAAACACCTTCTTTACTTTCAGCAGGTCTAAACCTGTCAGTGTAGAAAATGTCTTTTGAACGATCCGCGGTAATAAATCGATATGACCTTGAGGAGTGCTGTTCAGACCCAGGGAAAGGGATTGAACGTTCTCATTTTGTGACAGATGATTTCTGGGTACCGAACTACAGTAAAATTGAAATCCGACTGTGATCACGTGGCATCAGAAAAGTTTATCTGAATGAACTTTCCGTCATTCGTTCCGACGGCTTTTTGTTTGGTTTACGAATAGATTTAATGAACGCCTCGCCAATAACGTCATAGAGACTGCTCTGGTATAAGTTCAGTTATTTGCCCATTTCGGTATCCTTTCCAGTTGACAGTCTACGGTACATCCTGTTTTCTGTACCTTCCAGCTGCTGGTCAAGATATGTGCAGGAACCAAGTGGTTCGCTCGACCATCAGTGTCATTATTTAGTTCGTCTTCACTTGTCGGAGTTTTCCGAAACTTTAGGGGAATCGTTCTCCAGGAAAAGGTGACTCATTCTTGATGTTTATTGATCCATTTGGATGGTTCCTCTCCTGTTTGTTCAATCTGGTGTTTTTTGCATCCTCTGTTGCACGTTTTCTAGTAGGTGACATCACCGCCGATTCAAACGGGATCAATCGCGGGACTAGTGTGCCATAAGCCACACGGTACGTATTGGAGAGGTCAAGTTCAAAGTTCAGTCGCATTTCGGCCAATCAGAACGCAGCCAGTAAGATTACTTCTCGGGCGAACCAATCATAAGTGAAGGTCAACCCTTTCAGAAGAAAACTCACTAGTTGACACAATACTGTCGTATGAATGCGCATCTTCCTGCCAGCAAATTATGAGCATATTAGTCTCCTTTCAGAAACTTCTGGTCTGATTTCCCGCTTCGAACTTGAGAAAGGTTTGAGAGGCCAGACACTGGATGAGTGCAATCCAACTTCAAGTTCACTCTATACAAAGGTGATTTGGAATCGGCCAGAAAGCGCTTCGAACGAATTCATCGTGGCAAACAAGTTCGGGAAACAATCGGTAGATTACCCAGCAATAGATCTATCCTGGAAAGGGTACGGTTTTATTGATGACGTTCGTTTACTGTTGGTCAGATTTCGAAATTTTATGCATGTATCACGATCAGATACCGACGTGCAGCGTATAAATCTACGTACGTTGAAGTATGGATTAAAAAAGTTTGAGCAGTGCTGATGCTTGCTAAGAACACCCCGATGATAATTGGCGGTAGACGAGCGAATAACGGAATAACTACACTGATATTATGGATACTGTGAACACATCTCAGTGTAACAACAAGTTGCGGGAAAAATGAGCGCCTCTTTAATGTGAATTCACCAAAATCAAAGGACAATGACACGTGTGTATTCCGTCACCTCAGTTTCACGTTTTGACCACATTTTCCCCGAGTTATATCCCAATTACTGACCAACTGAGCTGAAATCATCCATAGGCAAGCAACACTACGCAGAGAATGAACTTATATGTGCTGGTACTTGATATCATCCTTTCCCATAAAAGGGATCGGAAAATTATACGATAACTCTAGGCGGGAGGTCCATTGAGGAGTGTGACCTTGAACAAGACAAACCGCGCTACCGAAAGCTCAAAATTGTGCTCAAAATCATATTAGAATATTTTCATCATAGGCATGTGGTCTGCACCAAACTTTGCAGGTTTTTAAATCTAGCTCTAGGAATCTATTATCGATTTTTGCACTTGCAAGTGTAATAGCAATACTGAATCGTGCACGTGACCTCGTGGCGTCCAAACTAAACAAGCGTGCACATGTGTTTGCGACAATTCTTGTTAGACAACAGAATAACAGTCTTGTTCGCCATTCGCGAATCATTTCACTCGTCATTCTTAGGCTTCCTTGATTAGTCAATAGCGTAGTCAATAACGCATGCCTATAAACATCAACATTTGGAGAGAACGAGCGAAGATATAATCTAACTTCTGGGAACTAAACCCTAGATTGTACTGAGCACCACAGTGATCTTGCTGCCTTCCTAATACCGTGAACCCCAGTCTGGATGGCTTGATGTGTTTAGCCAAACCAGAAAGCCAATGAACGTACGAGTGAGCAGATCGATTTCTTGAGCACTTCATGGACAATTGAAGAACAGCCAATCAAATCGGTCCTAATGGAAACAGTCATTCGATTGACAGTTGTGCAGTTCCGTTACGTAAGGGGCTGTTTCTACTAATAGATTGTAAAACGGACAAGCAAAAACACATCCTACTCGAAATACGGAAGAACGACCGACACTGGGAAACATCAAATCTGTAACAACAAAAGTGTGGAAATAAAAAAATAATTACTTTTCAGAATATGGCCCCAGATGACCAAACGTTTGCTGGCTAATGACAGTTCATTCCATTGGGGAAGCTGAATGATCAGTTCCACGGCCTGGTTGTTCGGAACGAAGACTGTCAGACATTGAGGTTGACTGCTGGTGCAAGAAGCTTCCACAAACTCCCTTTTCATTTCCAGCGCGTCGATGAAATCTGCAAACTATGAAGCAAAGATAATACATAGTGTTTAGCGGTTATTACAGTGGTCATGATCGTTTCACACCTTTCTAATGGACGCGGTGGGTTATTCGAGACCATTCAACCACTTACCAAATATGCTGACATTACAGGCGGTTAAAAATTGAGGCGTCACAATCAACTGAGACATACTACTCATGAGGTTCAGTTTCCCGTCAAAAGCAAATAGCGTTCAAATTAACGTACTTTAGCGATTTTTGTACAATTTGGATTCAGGAAGAACTTAGGAATGCGCCTACTTGATGAGTACAAAAACAAGGCGAAACTGTTCGTGAGCTGTCAAAACGCTTTTAGCAACCCTATGAGTAGCGTGTTATATCGATTGCCGTGTACTGCCATATCTCGAATATCCCGCCAACATGAGGCAACAAGTGTGCGATACATTCACTTAAAGCAAACAAAAGATTCAGGTAAGTTCCTCACTTAAAACTCAACGACGCTTACTTACAACGCTGGCGGACCACCGGTACATACAGTTGTTGACGCCCTAGATAAGTTCCACAGACCATGATACAATGGTTGCTGTGCGAGTACCTATTTCCAGTCTAACAATGTTGACCCAAGCAATAGAATTGCTGCTGTACTCTTCAGTCCTCAGTATTTGGAACAAGCCCGTCGCCATATCGCTTCAACGATAAACGCCGTTCCTTATGGGAGGTTGGGAAGAAAAAACTTTCCACATTTCGCGCGAAGCTTAGAAAAAACTCCGTCGATCCTACCGCATCGTCCATTTGCCTGATCGGTGGATGTTCAGGACCAGATGACTTTGTTGGTTGATGACTAGTGGGTGCCCCTAGCAAGTAGAGTAGATCTTCGTTCAGTTCTATTGGGAGAGCCAGCTCCGAACGTAACGGGAATACATAACTGCCAATGGAATAACCGTTTTCCGCTGAGACAGATTTCATTGGTTGTTCTTCACTCGACATTGACAGATGAGTTGTATTCTTAGTATCACTTTTTTGACCCGCTTGTACTCGACAGTGATCAACAGAGAAGCTGGCTCGCAGGTTAATTGAGTTTTCTGGTCAAGCGGCCATCCAGACCGGGGTTCACGGTATAAGAAGGCATTAAGGGACTGTGGTCCATAACAAGTTCAAACTGGGTTTGGTCAGTTTGTGTCCCATAGGCGTTGAGACGAAAAAACTACACGTATGACTTACTGGGTTAGCTGGTGATATAAAACCAGCTGAGAAGTCACGTGAATCTTCCATCTGAGAAGTCCTCGCTCAAGGACCCGTCACTCAATACATGACCGCGTGACGTGGTTTCCGTGATTGACGGATAGGCAGTGAGAGTTAATCACAAGGCTGATCGACCACTCATGGCCGAATGGTGTAGACTTTCAGCAAGGAGACGGGGGCTTGTGAGGTCTTCACCACTGATTGGTTCCCAAATGGATGAAACAGCTGTACAGTGCATCTCTGCTTTTCTGCATGGACTGACGCTACTGACAAGACGGCGGCCCAAATGGGAGGTTAGTCCTTTCATTAAATTAATGAACCCGTAGAGGTGTCACCGCCCTAGTTTGATTTCTTCAAATTAGCTCACAAGTCTAATGCAAAGAGAGCCATAATCCAGCTCCCCAGATCCCAATCTGACAAAATTAATGGACCCGTAGAAGGGTCACCGCTCTAGTTAATTTTTGATTTCTTCAAATTACCTCACAAGTCTATTGCAAAGAGAGCCGTAATCCAGCTCCCCAGATCCCAATCTGACATCGATACACTAGTGCCGTGAAAGATGTTTTGCCCTGAGGGGTTTGAAAAGGAGCTTCTTGAGAAGGGAGAGAATCTCAAAGAGAGTTGACCAATCAAACGATGGTTGAATCATGCAGGCGTTTTTCGGTTGTGCAACGGGTACTTTCATTGAAGAATGTGTCCAGCACCAGGAGCTGCATTGGTTGAGACATGTGTTGCGTAGGCCTAGCCATCGTTTGCTGATCAGAGTGCTGTTTAGCATGCCCAATTCAGAGTGACCAACCCTTGACTTGGCAGAGGAGTATGAAAGTGAACACGAAACGCTTAGGTGCTGTCAGTGCTACTTGCCTTTCAGTATGGGAACCGCGTGATCCTCACTGTGCCCGGTAGGAGACAATACAAGGTATGGCTTCCTACCGATGTCAGTGGCGTTCTTGTTGTCAGTTTCTCTCCAGATCGCCTGAGTGAATGTCTGGAGGTGTAGGCACCTCGGAATGATTGTGGTAAGCTAGCATCAAGTCCCTTCCCCGTCCACCTTTACTCTTTTCTTTACAATAAGGCTTTCAAATAAATCATGGTTGTACGGCAGTGAAGTATCGGTGTTGAACACTGACGTCATGCTGTCGTTTGTATTTATTAATTATTTTTACGACTAATGCAGGTGCGTCTATGATACACTTCATATGGGTCATGCGGCAAGACACTTTCCAAGTCAAGTCAGAAAGCAGTGGATCCTCGCAGTGGTTCACTTGTTGTTTCCATCATCATTACAGATCATCCATCCACTTGACTCGGTCTAGAGAATATACCCACTCGAGGATAGATCGAATTTGGTCTCTTCGATTTAAGCGTACGACGCACAATTTACCAACCATAGCGAAAATAATTTTGAATTTTACACCCTGGGCATACAATTTAACAGCTGTGACCGTTGAACCTCACCAACTATCACACGACAGAATAGCAGGTGTTACTAAGTGTGCAGGTGAGACGTCGTTACGGCTAGTGTTTGTCTTCGGCTTTTTTTTACATACATGATTTGTGTAGGATCAGTTGAGATCGATCAGACAATAAACTAATCCGCACATCTTGTGTTTCTTCAATGACACCAGTGTGTCAGCGTGAGTTGCAGCTCATGGGTACTTCTAACCTCTGCTTGGTTACCTGTAAACTTAACGTGTTTTTGTGCTGACGCTGGATTCGTGACGGGTTTATACTTGTCGCCCCTTGACTCCTTGTGTTTTGTGCTCACCGTAGTTCAGTGTCCACATCGCACCTGCTAAACCTAATGGAGGTACGACAATCCTGGTCTGGTCGACCTTACTGACTCCTCTGTATGTGGCCCTCGGTAGGATCTACGTTGGGGAGACCTGTTTCAACAGTACTTTGTTCCGGACTGATTTTCCGACCCTGTTATTGGGTGTACAGATGTTCCATCTTTCCACAGTTTTGAGGTTTGTTGTCTGCTTGCATAACACCCTTCTTATTTATTGATATTGCGTTGGACGGATTATCCCGAGTGTTTTGTTGTCTCGGGATCGTTCGGGGTGCGCGCACTCAACGCCCAGAAGGCATTCAGGAGCACTCTGAGACTGCCTTGATTTTATCGACTGGCCAAATGTTATGGGATGCACTGCATTACGAGCCTTATGCTGTTTTATAAGATATATGGTTGAAGAATTCATTTTGCAACCCTGTCGTTCACACTGACTTTTTCAAACTAACCAGCCGAACAAGGTGCTTCGAGCGTCAGACAGTGAATCAAACGTTCATCGGTGTTCAAAATGACCAGCATTTAACCATTCTATTCCCCGTTTTTGTAGAAATTTATGGGAAGAAGAACGCTCTTATCACTTCGACTGACTGCCGATCGCACTGCTGCTCCGACGAAGTAGCTACCACAAGGGATAAGCGGGTTTCAAGGTCACATGGGCTTAACAGCCAATCAGATTGCTGCCACCTCCCCGCCTGTCTATACCTCGACCTGCAGATTCTGCAGACGAACGCTCAAATAGCTGCTAGGTCTTGAGAAGGGAACCCGCTTGAATGCATCCAATACATGATCCTTGATACCTTTGTGACGCTCTAAAGAAGTGGTTCCATTCACTATTCAATCAGATTCCCTATTTGAAGACTAAAAACTGACACCAGGTCGTAGAGCAAGCAAAAAGGAGGACACATGAATCGTAGTTTCGTCGCACTCACTTTTTTTCGAAAGTTTTACCTGAAGTTGAATGCCTCGTGAACCTACCTTGGACTGCTTTATCAACAGGTCAGGTCAGGCGCATCCAATCATTTGTGAAGAGCTTGGGAGGACTGAGAATTTGTCGTTTCAGGAGGGCTTGGAAACCAATCGATTGTTTACCAAGTTAGATCGTGAAAATCGAACCACTGTCATGCAGCTGTAGTGGCAGTAGAATTGGTCCTCCTCAGAGAGGCTGTCAGTGGCACCTAACAGGGCTAAGTGCTCGGAAGTGAGGTCGTGTCATAAAACAGCGATCTTGCGAACCAGCGAACCTACATCCTCTAAATACTCACCAGTAATGTGAAGATCCTGAGCAAACCTCGTAAGCGGTCAGTTAAACTTGAAAATTGTTTCCGGGGCTTAGTGCCTCGTTTAAACCTAAGTAAATTTGCCCACCTAAATTGGGGGAATTGGAGAAAACTCAATGTTTAAGGCAAGAGATTACTATCTAGAAGGTCCGTGGTTCGAACCCAACTTCAGTCTATCGATTGCTCCTGCTCTTGGGCAGTATCTCAACCCTCGCGCTTCCTTCAGGTGGTTTTGGTAGCTAGGCACGGTTATGAATGTTGTTTTTACCTAGTTAGACTACCTGCGTTTTGGATATCTCATATCAAGTCTGGTAGTGAACATACACTTAGAATTTCGTCTGAATCGATTGCCGGGTTTGTGTGTTGCGCAATGCAGTTTCACTGTCATGTCCTGTGGTCCTGAGGACAGACAACTAAGGTTTCTCAAACAGCACAAGCTTCTAAGATTCTGTCAATTCCTGTCTTCAGATTACTCACTCACCCAGACGACCAGCCTCGTCTTGAGTCTATTCTGTTGAACTGAGAAAACCGAGGTCGGGTTACCGATCGAATAGTGTGATTGCTTTATAAAGGAAACTACTCACAAGGTTGCTGAAAACTCTGTGACAGTCCACGACCGGTTTCGCTCTTCCACTTGGGGCTCATCAGGTAGGCCCAGTCCCCCGAGTTTCCGTCAACCTTATGATCTACATGAACCCAAATTGCACTGTTTTCGAGAAATACACTCATTTGCAAATCAATTTGGTTCTCACGCGAGACTCAATTGAATCTCTCGTTTATGATGTCCTCCAGCTGAATGTGCTGCGCACAGGCCGCCTCATGTTTCAGTTGGCACGAGGACATCATAAACGAGAGATTCTATTGAGTCTCCCGTGAAAACCAAATTGGTTTGCAAAAAGTGTGAGTGCCTGTTCAACCACTTGCGTGGTCTACTGTGATGGGTCGTTTAAAGCCCGACGAACCTGCAAATCTAATCTCACGTGCTGATCTGCTGCCCAGAGCTTCAGAAACGTTTCAAACCTCAATTGATAGACTGTGTGCTCAAATCCTGCCAGAAAATAAGGCAGTGCCGACTTCATTATGCGTCGCCATGAAGGGAAACCAGACAGCTCGATTGGCCAGGTACCCACAGGAGTGGTTTTCGAATTCTTTCTGAGCTGAAAAAATACATGTGTCTTCCATCTTGATGCTTATGAGGACCATATTACCTTTCAGGAAAGAATATGTTGAGAGCGAACCAGCGCTGATCTTTAGACAGAACAAAGGGACATAAAGTCCAGTGAAGAACTCAAATCAGTCAGACTCAGCAAATGCAGCATTGGCTTCCTCTGGAATTCGCTGGACACGTTATTAAACTCGATGTTGACAGATGATTTTTTGGCATTCAAAGACGAGAGACTGGTTTTAATAGTACATTATTTCACCAAAGGATGAAGTGGGAATGTGTCGTTCAGCTGTAGCCCCCTTTCGGTGCCTAGCTGCCATGCCACACGAAGGAGGCACGAGGGCTGGGATACTGTCAGGTCGCCCAAGCCTAGACAGGGGAAGTCGAGTGGCAGAGGTCGGGTTCGAACCACGGACCTTCCTGTCAGTAAATTGCGCTCTAACCACTTGGGCGATCTCGCCCATAAAGTGGGAATATTTGACTTCAAAACTATAAAAACAGTGCTCATGAGTTCCCGGCCCGGGGGTTTGGCAAAAGTGGAAATGCCGGGTCGCCCATGCCTACACAGATGCACTCGGGTTGCCGCGTCTGGGTTCGAACCACGGATCTTCCGGTCAGTTACCTGACGTCTTACTTACGGAGCTATATCGAGCCCTGTTTCAGGGAGCTGGTTCGAGCCACGGTCCGTCCAGACACATATGCTCAGTCCTAGACATGTTTTCCGAATTGGTTTATAAGTTTTTAGAATATGCTGATATACTTGGGGCTTAGAGTTAGTTTTGTCAAACTGACCATATGAGAATGATCGGAAACCTTTTCTCCAGCTGTTCAGGATTTTTTCGGCTATGCGGATAGATTGTAGATTAGGAACTAAACTAGCCGACTTCTTTGAAGAAATGTCGACAGATCAGCCTCGTTTCATTTGATTGATTCGGTGATTTTAACCAAGATAAGCGAGTGCGAAGAGAGATTCGGTGTTCTGAACTCGCACTCGAAGGTTAGGGGGCTCCCACAAGACTGAAACTGACTATGAGTAGCAAACATCCAAAGACGGTTCTGTCTGCCTGCAAAGAACCACGCTTTACAAGCCTGGGCTGCAGACTTTAGAAAAGATACTCGACTCAGTGAAAAAAAGTTCAACGGTTGGTAGTTGATCAGGTGGCTGTTTATCTGTTCGCCGACTTTGTTAAGTGAGCTGAAGATGTTTTGTTGTCATTTGAGCAGACATCGTCAGCGCACTGTCGGGCGGCAGTTTTTTGGTAACAAAGACAAGAAAAGTCGGTGGGAGAAACATCTGCTCTGCACCGAGTATTTTGGGATCGTAAATAGATGAAAGTGTGTGGGATAGAACAATCCATTTGGAAGAAATTCCCAAATACCTGGTAGAGATCTTGTCCGCTCAAACTAAAGAAAATTAAAGGTTGGTTGACGCGATACAATTGAAAACAGTCTAAATAAGTCACTTGAGGAGATAATAAAGGCCAACAACACTGCTAGTTTTCAATACGTTGAGGTTTTTCTCTCTTTGCATGGTACTGATTAACGTTTCCATACTTCATACTCCTTCCCAGTTCACCGGGCAGTTTTCTTGTCAGAGTTTGTCCTATTTCTCTCCTTTATCGTTCAAAGACTTATCAAGATGAAGATGGCGTGTCCCGAAATTTACCGATGATATTGCTGAAACGAAGAGGTTAAAAATGTTCACCTGGATGGTCATCTCACTCCCGAGAAAAGTGCCTCATCAGATTCATTCCCAGTGATGCAGACACGTATATATAGATTGTTTTGGAGTGTGTGAGACAGAGAGACTTTGTCCAGTGAGCGAAACCAGTCGAAGAATTTTCAGCAGCCTTATGAGTAGTGTCTTGCATCTGTACGTGTATCGCAATATCTCGAATATCGTAGCAAGTGAAACATGAGGTGGCCTGGTGTAGCACGTTCAATTGCTCAAAAGTGATTCATCTGGGATTTAAATGAGTCCCCCGTCAAAACTAAATTAGTATGCAACTGAGTTTCTCTGTTACCTTCAACCCCTTTCCAGGAGTGTTCGGGGGCCAGCCGTCCCTAATAACCGAACATCACATCATTTGGACGCATGTCCCGTGCGCTCGTCCTCGACGATCGTTCTGTAAAGCTGATTGAAATTGTTCGTTAGAGTCCTGTATCCAGAGAGGCATTGAAGCAATCAAATTCAGTCGATGGGAAACTTTTGACGTTAATTTGAGTGATTGTATCAGGAAATTGCATCACACTTGCGGAGAGGAGCATCAGCTGTACTCAGTCCCGTTTGGTGTGGTCTTTTACATGTCAAAGATGATCGATTCCAACCTTCGGAGCCACGACAGAATAATGGAGGTGTTTCAACAAACAATTCGACGAGTTTTTAGGTTCAGTTATTGAATCAGTTTGTCTGAGGAGAAAATTCACCGTAAGCTGTTGAGGCAACAAATGAATGTTCTAGAAGCCTTGTACAGCTGCTTTATCCTGATGAGAACCATCAGCTGGGAACTTCTGATGAATATCACTGCAGGTTCGAACCCTGTTAGTGAGGAAACGCTTTATCGCGAGCTGTTAATCAGCACCGGAGTCAACTTAGACGGACTGCAATGACGCTAAACTCCAGAATTTCACGTGATTCGGCGTTGACTGGATCCACAAGGAAGGACCCCTTAGAGTTTTCAGCAACCTTATGAGTAGTGTGTCAGCTTTATACATGTATCGCGATATCTTGAATATCGTGCCAACTGAAACATTCAGTTGCTTATAAACATGATAAACGGAAGATTCATCTGGGTTCCAGGTGAACCTCGCGTCAAAATCAAAGTGGTAAGCAAATGAGCGTGCTTGTCGGATGTATTCCTTCATCTGAGGGGACAAACGGAAGAGGCGTTTTCTAAGACTAGGTCTACCTTGGAATGAATCAGGTAGAAGATGAGTGTGAGACGGTTTGGAGATGCCTACACTTTTGAAAAAAAGCTGTGTTTGGAACAAGAGTATCGGGATTTCCTGGTTACTCTTAAATACAAACAGTGTCGATAGGTAGAGTTATTGGCTTACCAATTTGTTTTTTACCCAAGAACAACTAGAATCTCTCGCTGATGATGTTTTTCTGAATGTGATACACCAGGTCACTTCATTTTCCAGTTTGTACGATATTTGAGAACGATTTAGCTGAGATTCAGGTGAGTCCGCCTTGAAAATCAAGTTGGTGTGCAAATGAATGTACCTGTTGAACATCAGGAAACTTGGGGACTTTGCCTACTCCCAGAAGGATGACACTGGTCGTAAGCTGACAAAGGGTTTTCAGCAACCTTATAAGTAGTGTGTTGCGTCTCGTTCTGGCTATCCACTGAACTTGACGGAAACAGAATGGTCACTGGCAATGTTTGTAGACTGGAAAGCAGAGGTTGATGCAAGCGATTCTCGTGCTTCTTACTATGTAATCATGTGGAACTCATGGTGGCCAATGAACATCAGAGACCGAGCGAATCTGTGAGAGGTATGGCCCGTGGTAGGGTGACTTCTCTTTCCAGATTGGTCCATCGCGTTGAAGTACGCGCGATGGACTCACGCACAGATAATGCCTAGAGCTGGACTGCCAGTGCAAACCCGAGGGACCGGAGGTTGGACTGGATGGAGCAGTTCAAGAGCCAACCATCAGCTTGCTCAACTTGCGGTCGATTAGCGCCCTTTCTGGCGGGTTTAACTGAGCACTTCAGACCGCACTTGAGACCCACAGCTCTCAAGACACATGGCCAGCCAGCTCCAATATACAACTTGGTCTGTACAACAACTGTCACAGAAAGTCATCTCTGTCACTGCTGTAGGTTTAACTCCCCGGAATGCTATCGGGGTGGATGATACGCGAATGAACAAGGAGCACCGTTAAGACTAAGTAAGCTGAATTCAAAACGATAGGACTCGTGTGAAAAAAAAGAGAGATGGCAATGAGCTAGTGAAATACCGAGTGAAAGGGACCTATTTGCTCGCATAAAGATACGTCCCAAGAGATCTTCAACAACCATCTACCATCCAAGATGTGGCTAAAACGGACAAACCAACTCACATATCAAAACAATGCAAGGTGATCTAAGGGTACTCTAGAGAACTTGAAGTGAGAGCCCTGTGCCTCGGATCGAATTCGGATCAGTGGTGGTGGTTCTTTGATTTTGTTCTAAGACCAGTTCCGAGTGAATATGCCCCGAAAGTGGTAGACCGCGGTGTGGTTTGATTTCCTCTTAGGACAGGTCACTCCATATAGGGGGGTCAGTGAATTCGAGATTAAGTGGAGCTAGCCTTCCCTACTCTTCACTCTCTCTCACACACCGTGTCGTGCAATTTCATCCACCACCAATGAATGCAAACGATAAGCCCAGTACTCACCTTTGTTGTGTTTACATTGTTCCGTATGGTGTCATACAAGTTATCGGTCTGAGCATCAACAGGTTGATCACAAACTACGAAGCAAATTATCCAGAACAAACAGAGGTATTCTATCCTTGAAGGCATGGTGAGCTATGAGTGACACATACTCTCCATCTGGTTTTATTCGCTGGCACTGCTCCTCGGTCGCGGTCCACAAATGCTTTGTTTACGTTTCGTGTCTAACGACATACACACACCACAGGCAGAGCCTTGGTAACACTGCCGCACAGAGCACACACACTCGTCAGACGTGTGACGAAACTGTGTGTACCTATGCGCTGTTAGTTCGCAGTGTGGGTTCGGATGAAGTCAAGCCGAATGCAGGTTTTCGGAACTGCGTCCGAACATAATTACAACCGTATCAGAATACTAAACTTATATGGTTTGGTTTCAGAAAGACCCGGGGATTCAACGGCTTTCCAAACTCGGGGGGGGGGGGGGGGCGTTTCTGGTGAGGTGCCGTAAGGACGTAGAACAATTGCTCATATTCCAGCACTTGTGAAATCTTTGGTGATGGGGAGATTTGCTAAAGATTTCGTCCCGACAGTGAAGCCAATCTATGCTGAAAAGCCAAGCAGCACTATACAGCTGTTTCATCCTTACTGGATATCACCATCATTGCCCATCTCACGAAACCGCAGACAGTTTCGAACTCGTGAACACTTAACTGTTTGGCCACGAGGGGCTGATCAGCAGGGTGATTAGCTCTCTGTGAGACAGTTGCACTCATCCTTGAGCAGCAGACATCACATCACGTGATCAGACTTGTTGACTGGTTGCCCGAGTGAAGACCCCTCAGAAGGGAGTGTCGCTCATATTGTGAAATTATTCCTTGTCTGAGCTATTTATCGATTGATGCTGATGGGGAGGTTAAATATTTTTGAATAGAGAAAGTCACCTAGTAATGCTAGCCAAAGTGTGAGTCACGAGAGTTGTGCCAAGCGAAGTTTACCTAACCTGACAACAGCACGGCTGTTAAAACCGAATAAACGTCAGATTGTGGCTTCTTCCCATTGCGGCGTTTGGGTCGGACGTGTGCTAATTACCGTTTACCGGTGACCTGAAAAGAAAAATGGCAGCCGATGGGGTCAGGACAATGGTGTTTAGAGGTTTGCCGAAAATGAATCTGGTGTTTAGCTTGTTGTGTCTTGATGGACGATCGTGCAAATCTGTATCGGTCCCTTGGCCTTCTGCTCCACCAACTATGGTATATCAAAAGGCACGGTAGCTCTACACAGCCCTTTATGGAGACAAAAGGAGAATCATTATATTTTTATTTATAGGGTAATCACAGTGTTCCACAAGGTCGTGCTAGAATCACCGTGAGGGGGCGAGAAGCGTCGAGTCAAAGATACTCGATCAGGATTGGCTGGCATTCTGACCAATCAGGGCATGCCTTCGCTTGGTCCGTGTCCTGCACGTGACCCATCCGTCCAAACGATGTGATGTTCGGTTATTAAGGACGGCTGGCCTCCGGACACGACCGTCTGACAGGTTTTGAGCTGACTGTCAGTAAGACGACATTCAATAAGGAATCCTTCGTCCGCTGTCAAATATACCAATGGTTCGCTTGACAGCGTGTTTAACAGATTTTTGAACGAATGGAACCGCCAGAGAACTGGAACACTACACCGGTAATGTCGGTGCACAAAAGCAGAGGCCAGATGAACCTTTTCAGGAATGTTACACTGGCGGGTTCCAGTCTAGGATTGGCCGTTTTTGGAGTACCACAGGGGCCAGGGGGAACCTCTGTTCTCTTCAGTAGGCGTAAACACTTCGGCGAAGACCTCGAGAGTCTTTGCTTCATGTTTGTGAACATTACAGCGCTGGTTGACAGTCACAATATAGGGTTACTCAGCCTGAACGGCTGGTCGGGAGCTCCCAGCGAATGTCTCTGAGTATCTAAACGTTATTAGGACCTCAGTGCTACGTAGATGAGGTTAATGACCGGATACACAGCCCAAAGGGCGTCAGAGAACAGGGGGTTGAATCGGATGGGAATTGCAGCTGAGCATTGCACCAGGTGATATGTGTAGTTATTTCCTCTATACATTTCGTAAGTATTGTGTACAACCCTGAGAACGTATCAGAAAAGTACACGAAATTAGCAGAGGACGTTCAGAAACACTCGATCAAAGGATCTGCCAGCATTTGATTACTCTGTTGTGAGGGAGATGGCATTGCATTCGCAAGGCTGCTTCGTCTTTCAGTTGGTGCCATATTTGAGAAGAAACACTGGTCATTAGGTCTCTGAAAGCACTACGTCAGCCGGTTTAGTCCTTCTTCGAGCTCATCAAGTAGACGCAGTTCCCTACATCTGCCAACATAAGCGATAGATTCGGCCGGATTCAGCTGAATATGCCATTAAACCAGTATTAGGTTGCAAATGAGAGTAGTTGGAAAATTCTGTCCAATGTGGGTCCAAGGAGAGCAAAGCCAGTTTTGGGCTGTCGAAGAGCTTTCAGAAACCTCGTAAGTACTAGCTTACGTCAAAATGTCAAGGAGCTTAAGTTAAACAAAAAACCTGACCTTCAAAATTCAAGGACACTGTTCAGTCTTAGGGATAGTGAATTGAGGGTGTGATCTAAAACACCAAGTTTTCCGGCTTCTTTGTGTTCTGACTGAAACGCGAATGAAACCGGTTATCGGTAGACATGGCATTTTAGGAGTTAAGCGAACTGGACTACCTTCTTTTATCGACCAGTTCTGATGTCCTTGGCTAACCACTGAAAGGCGACCTCTTTATACTATCCCACTCCTTCCTTACTAATATTCGATCTAGTTCGATCCAGTTTCTCTTCTCCTACTTTCAGTACAGCCATAATCATGCATTTTTCGTTCCCCTCACTTGACCGATGAAGCGAATCCAGAGCTATTCCATTGCAGGTTCAGCAAGCGGTGACAATCCCCGTAGTTGTTTGCGTTTCGTGAAGTACGGGACGGCTGTCGCCCTACATCGTTCTTCGTCGCTGATGATGTCGAGACCTTGTGAGATCGCTGGATCTAACTGATACAAGAAGGTGAAAAAGAAGAAAAAGAAAGCAAGAAAGCGTTCAGCTGTAGCACCCTTTCGGTGCCTAACTGCCATGCCCCCTTCGAAGGGAGCACGAGGGCTGGGATAATGCCAGGTTGCCCAGGCCTAAAGAGAGGAAGTCGAGAGGCGAAGGTCGGGTTCGAACCACGGATCTTCCAGTCAGTAGATTCGCGCCATACAAGAAAGTGAACACCTGGTGCTAACGGTAGACTCCGCTGAAATGCAACCAAGCCTTCTATATTCCTCAAATGAATATACCAGACGAACTCTTGTTTCTCATCTATATTCACGAGACCACACGACACCACTCTAAAGTTCGATCAAAACTCCAGGCAGTCCAATATCGATTTCGCTCATATCTCGTTAATCATATCGTTTAATTGGATGAGTCATCAGTTATCGCTAACGTATTTTGCAGTTGAATTTTGATCGCCAGATACATACAAATTTGTACTGATGGAAATTCGGGGTCAAAAGTTACGACGTAGGCCTCAACAAGGGATCTTTTCCAGATAAGCCCCGCCATGATGCCGGGGCCTTGTGAGGTTGGATCTAACTGACACAAGAAAGTGAACATCTGGTGCTAACGGTAGACTCAGCTGAAATGCAACCAAGTCTTCCATATTTCTCAAATGAACGTACCAGACAAACTCTCGTTTCTCATATATATTCATGAGTCCACATGACACCACTCTACAGTTCGATCGAAACTCCGGACAGTCCATAATCGATTTTGCTCATCTCTCGTTTATCATATCATTTAATTGGATGAGTCATCAGTTATCGCTAACGTATTTTGCAGTTGAATTTTGATCGCCAGATACATACAAATTTGTACTGATGGAAATTCGGGGTCAAAAGTTACGACGTAGGCCTCAACAAGGGATCTTTTCCAGATAAGCCCCGCCACTAATGCAAAAAGTGCATGTGCCCAAGTTAAGCCCCGCCCCCCACTTTTTGCCAGCTCCAATTTAATCTACGCACACAACCTTGACCCATTTTTGATGAAAACATTTCCTTATCCGCATATAGGTTCGTTTTGTGCGAAAATTTCCTCCGTTCGGATGTAAAACACTGAATGAACTTTCTGACGCTTTCAAATCTCGTTCATGACAAGGAGACGGCAATACGTTTTTTGCAAAGCCACGGAGTGATCCATCAGCAACGTTTCTGCAACAATGGCCACCAAATGGCACTTTCAACTGTTTCTGACAGGTGGAGGTGTAATGCCCGACAGTGTCGGCAGGAAATCAGTCTTCGAAAGGGAACTTGGATGGAGCGGTCTAGAATGGAGTTTAGGACAGTAATTCTATTCATTTATTGCTGGTCCAAAAATTTGGCAAAAATCAAATTCTGCTCAGAAAAATTATCCATTAGTCGCAAGACCGCTGTTGACTGGAAGAACTTTCTTCGCGAATTTTGCGCCTGGCGGCTTTTGCAGATTGCAACAGTTATCAAGTTTCACATCCTCTGTTTTCTAATCTTTTTTTGGGTGGCCGGGGTTAGTTTTTTGGAGGGGCTTAGCTGGAAAAGATCCGTCGTGTGTTCTCAGGCAAAGCTCCAAGCTTGTTCCTTGAAGTAGTCAGGTGCACTTCCGAACTGTCGTTTCTTTATCTAATCTAGGCAGTTTTGCTCATGTTCGGAGGTCCGAAATATCGCTCAGACTTAACACTCTAACGCCTAATTTCAAAATCCAGTCATCAAATTAGAAACGTCCAAAAATAACCTAAATGATTCACCGTTTCCTCACCCAGTGTGAGAAAGCGATTTCACTTTTTTTGATAAACGCTAAGGCAACGAACGCCGCATCAAGCACCACGTATTGAATTGTAGTTAGTTGCGGGAACTGGTATTCACCCTCGTTTGAACGTTTTGGTCGACTGTGCACACACTTTCCCGTGACCGGATGTGAATGTTACGAGCCCCGCAACCGCCTAGAACCAATCAAATTTTGTCCAGCATCTGTGATGCTACTGCGCAACTGGGACATTTTGATGGATGCGTCGATCGATTGACACGATCCGAAAGGTTTATCGATCGTCGTTCAATTCGTTGGACGAGCCAATCACACGTTCGCTTCTTCAGACACGATGATTCAGCGTGCGGGTGGTTGAATCGTTCGCCTGGCATGTCGGATGCCCGGAGTTCAAGCTCCGCGACGCGAACAAGGATATGCGCCAATAAAAACGAAAGTCGTGTCCAGTGCTTCCTCCCTCTGGTGTGGACTTATCGGAATAAATGCGACAGAATCAGAGAAGCGATGTGAATCAAACAAGTAAAATGATGCGTTCAAAAATTACTATTCATTAAAGAATCAGCCTAATGAATTGGGCTATTGATCTTGAAATGGGACGTCCCATTAGCGAAGTACACTCATTTGCAAACAAATTTAGGCCGCCTCTTGTTTCAGTTGGTACGATATTCGAGATCTCGCAATACATGTACAGACGTAATACACTACTCACAAGGTTGCTGAAAAATCTTCGACCGGTTTCGTCCCTCTTGGGGCTCATCAGGTAGGCGCGGAAAAATCAGATTCAGCTGGGTTCCAGGTGAGTCTCTAGTCAAAACCAACTTGGTTTTCTAATGAGTGTATAATTCGAGTTTCGTGCAGTTTGGATTCAATTAGAACATGAGGTTGACGGAAACTCGGGGACTGCGGTTTCTTGATGAGCCCCAAAATGGCGAAGCGGGTCGCGGGACGTCACATTATTTCACAAGGCATCATAAATCCTTAATGGAGATTTCGTCCCGAAAGTTAAGCCAGTCTGTGCTGAAAAGCCGAGAAGCACCGTACCGCCGTTTGGTTCTTTCTGAGAATCATCAACATTTACAGAATGGAATCTCCATTAAATATGCCGACAATCTGTACGTAGCTCACCCGATGAGTGAAACCTCCATCTGAGAAGTGGTCACTTGAGAAACCAATCAAACGTGTGACGTGGATCCCGTGATTGAAGGATGAACGAAGGTTCGAGGGACCCTGGAGTTTCGTGAGGCGCGCACTGTTGATGCCTCAACAAGGATGAAACAGCTGTACAGTGTCTCGCGGAATATCAGCACAGGTTGGCCTCGTTCGAAGGGCGGAGCCCCTAGTAAAAGTTCTCTGGTCTCCTCACTCTACCAACAGAGGACACGGATCGCCAACCTACTGCCTTCCAAATAGGCGACGTATAGACTGAGGACGCTCGATGTGTTACAGCACAGCCGGTTCGCCGAAGCTCTACTCAATGTGTTAAGGCTTGGTGTCCCTCTCTGAGTGATATTCACAAGTGACCAAACGTTGATAACTTCCACTTACCAGTCACAAAACATGAAGGGACTTGAGAAATGTTGAAATGAACAGTCCAAGTACACTTTGGAGGAATGCAAAGGCACGCCTGAAAATAGAACCCAGAAATTTTCATCAGATTTTTCAATACCGTGTGGAACATTAGTTTATCATGCACATAGCTTTCGAATACGTCCGGCGCACACACACACTCAGGTCGTTGACAGACTCTGGTAGTCTGGAGGGTCACGGTAACTACACTAAAGCATGAAATTAGCATATGTTTATCGCAACCAGACAACGGATTTGCGTTCAAGTGAGAAAGGCTGTTGTTCTCTGTCGCTCGCTTTTTGAAATAGTCACGTGACTCTTCGACTCTTTTGAAACAACGAGCCGTTTGCATAATCAATCACATGTTAACTGACCTCCGAATCGATAAATCGGTCCGCTATGCGAATAAGAACGACCAAATGCAGTCTGGACGCATTTGTTGATTGTTGTTACACCATGACAGCATGCACCTGTCAACGTGTCACTTGGACCATTCTCTGGTTACTGCTTCTTCTTATTATAATTTGGCCTGTGGCGTTTTTCGTTGCCTGGATCTACGTGTTCGTTCAGGTGTTCGTCCCCTGCTTTGAACCCTTGAACTCGGTCAATGAAGCTCTCTTCGCGGTCACCTCATTCCCCCTTACATGTTCCCGCAACATTATGGAAGGGAAACCGATGTGTTGAAACTGTGACTTTGTACGCTTTTGTGCATATCGATTATCGATCGGACGTTTAGTACTTGGTTTTGACGATGCTTTGCCTTGGGAAATAGTAATTGCATACGGATTTTCCCTTACAACTTTGCCTTTTCATTTCGATCGCAAATGCGGCTATTGATTTTTTTCAAGGACGCATGTGATGACTGCCTCCTGGTGTCGCAATTAAGGCAACCATTGAAATAAGTTTAAGGTGATAGGTTAAAATAACATTGAGAGTGTAAACAATGCACCAACGGCCAGTGGCCATGCGTTGGACCCAAGTTCTTCAGGATTATGTGCTTTTTTAAAATTGCTGATAGTTGAGGATGATCTGCTTGCATTGTGGAACCTTAATGCCTTCTTATTACCATGAACCCCGGTCTGGATAGCCGATCGATAGCCTGGTGTGCTTAACCAAACCAGAAAAGTCAATGAACGTGCGAGCCAGCCGCTCTGTTGATCACTGTTGCTTAAAAGGGGTCAAAAAGTGACACTAAGAATACAACTCATCTGTCAAGGACGAGTGAAGAGCAACCAATGAAATCTGTCCCCCACGAAAAGCGGTTATTCCATTGGCAGTTATGTAGTCCCGTTACTTTCGGGTTAAAGAAACAAGAATACAATTTCACCTTTGAGAAATACACTCATTTGCAAATCAATTTGGTTTTCACGAGAGACTCAACTGAATCTCTCGTTTATGATATTCTACAACTGAATGTGCTGCACACGCGAGGCCTCATGTTTCAGTTGGCACGCTATTCGAGATATCGCAGTATAGTTTCATAGAGACTACTCAAGAAGGGTGAAATTGGTCGTGGGCTGTCGAAGAGTTTTCGACAACCTTGTGAGTAGTTTTCTTTATAGAAGGGGCATCTTTTTAACATCTGAAAATTACTGAACTAGTGTCATGCTAGAGAATGTTAACTAGGTGCTTTTACACGAAGAAAACTGCTCAAAGGTCTGCTGAAAACTCTTCGACAGTCCATCATCTCGAACATCGTGCCAAGTGAATCATGAGGCGGCCTGTGTGCAGCACATTCAATTGTGGAATATCATAAACGAGGGATTCAGTTGAGTCTCTCGTGAAAAGCAAATTGATTTGCAAATGAGTGTATTTCTCGAAAACAGTCCAAGTTGGGTTCAAGTAGAACATATGGTTGACGGAAACTGGGAGACTGTACCTACCTGATGAGCCCCAAGAAGGGTGAAACCTGTCGAGGGTTGTCGAATAGTTTTCAGCAACCTTGTGAGCAGTTTCTTTTATGACAGTTTCATTTTATTTTCCCAAGCGAAAGAATACCGATCTCCGTCATTTTTGTAATTTAAATAGACGTGTTGTTGAGGTTTCCGATACGGAACTGTGAGTGACGCGTAGGTTCGACAATCCCCATTGGCAGAGTGAAGAATTGGGTTCGAAATTTTACGATAATATTTACACAAGGCTTAGAACAAATGTGTACAACAAGCCTCAGTTGTTCAGCGAAATACACTCATTTGCAAACTAATTTGGTTTTTCGAGAGACCCACCTGAAACCCAGCTGAATCTCTCGTTTGTGATGTTTTCAGGCAACGGAATGTGCTGCACCAGGCCGCCTCATGTTTCAGTTGCTACGATATCCGAAATATCCCGATACATATACATCTTTGTAATGCACTACTCATAAGGTTGCTAAAAATTCGTCGAGTGTTCATAACAGCATCAACAAGTGCATAGTGTTGTCTCAGGAGTGTGGGTTGCGGTCGTCCCCTCGGATGACAGTCACGTGATTCTGACTGGCAGTGTGGTCGCACAGGACTCTGGAGAACAACTCAGCGCAGGCTCGGCAATCGGGAAACAAACTCGCACGGATAAGCACACACTCACCCACAGACACACAAGCTGATACGCAATTGTCGGACCGGACGGCCTTCGCGGCAAGGTGAGTGGCGAGTACAGGTAAGCAAAACTCTTGGAGATCAAAAGTACATAAATGAATGAAGCAATTATCACGTGATCAAGTTATATTCGATAGACGTCCACACATGGATTTACAGTTCTAATGAAGATTTGTTGAAACAATGAAAAGAAGTGACTTTTTCACTAGTTATTTGTCAGTCGCGCAACCCGAGAAGTGTCGCACAACCTTGTGGTTTTTGGCTAAGGAAATCGATTAGTGGGCACTGCTGGTAGAGTGGGAATTTTTCTGGAGTTCTAATCCCAAACAGTCGGCGTCATTCTTCTGAATTTCATCAGCATGTCAAAATTGACAACCTTGAGTGGATGATACCATCGCACGTTCACTGTATCAACAAAATAGATTTCCAGACCTGTTATAGTTTGGAGTCTTGACGAAGTTAGTCACCCTGTGAGCTAAGAAACAAAACGTTCTACAAGTCGCAAATAATCGTCCGTTTTGGGGAAAATGTCCGCACTACTGAAATGGCGGTTGAGTAGCGTTGGAATATCCGCCTTGTCTGCATCACGATCGACAGAAACATCAGGTGAAAATATTGGTGCTCCACTGTTTTAGAGCAATGTTAATTTATTTCAATAAAGTCTTGTAACGGGAGAATGAAATATAGGCGAGGAAGGAAGACCTAGGGTTGGCCTATCACGAGTCTCCGACTTGGCTACACCTCCGACACTCACTCAGGCAGTCTGGACAGGAACCGACATTGGTATGCCACCGCATGCGCCAGCGTCATCGGTCAAGCGCAGGAGGGGTCATGTGGACCCCATCCAGTAATGCGAACGGTACCAGAGACACCCAGGCCTTTCGCTACATCCCTCGTTCTCTTCTGTCATGTAAATAGATCCACATCTAGGTTCCCCGCCGCTCCGCATAGGGCACGGAAAACAGCGCTCGCCTCGGCAGGTGGTAACCCGGTATGCGTACCACATTTGCCAGCTAACATGGCTCGCCCCAACACAAACCTGCTACCTGATATTCTCATTCCGAATAGTCTGAGACCTCGATGGTCACAGATCTGACGATGTCTCAGATCCTCTATCCGAAGTGGGCGAGATGGACCAAACTTACTGACAGGAAGGTCCGTGGTTCGAATCCGACCTCGGCCTCTCGACTTCCCCCCAGTCTAGGCTTGGGCGACCTGGCAGTATCCCACCCCTCGTTTTTCCTTCTCGTGGTGTGGTAGCTAAGCACCAAAAGGGTGCTACAGCTGAACGACTTTTTTCCATCCAGAATGGTCAAGCAGCCATAAAACCGTTTACCCCAAATTGTAGGCTGATACACCAGCCGTTTAATGTCCAGTGATATGCCTTTTTAATGCCTCAATTAGCGTGAATTGGTACAAACACTTGTGGCATCTGACTTTATGTTTCCCGTTACCCTCAACTCTAAGGCAGCGTTTGAGACGCATTTAGTGTTCTGAAATCTCCACTGTCACTCCTTGAATTCGCTGAGGCACGCTCAAAGCTGACTGAAGTGTGTTCGGTGAAAACCGCTCAATGATTCTTTTCGAAAGCCAGACTGTCACGTGATAGGCAATGTTGTGGAATATACGTAGCTCGGGTGCGCTGATTAGTTGTCTCTCCGTTCACCGAGCGTGGCAGTTGGACTACAAACGTTTCATCACCAATAGGGGTGACATCGTCAGTGTGACCAACAGCCAGTCACGTGATAGTTTGTGACAGACGTACCTATGGTGAATCCACACATTTATCGGCATACTGGGTCGCAGTAATGATTCCTCATAGTGATAGTGCTACAATGTAAGAGGAAGTACATTTTGCCGTTTCCATACGTACAGGATCTCATAATAGACGCAAAATTTGATTGGGCAAGTAAACACAGCCAATCAAAGAAAAGATAACAAAATTTTTCACAGCTAGTAGCCACATAACGGAGGTTTTGTGTCAAAGTGTTGACATTTTCACAATTGATGTCAGTACACGCATTAAAATTGTGAAACTCTATTATTCCCTTGGTAAAAGCGCCACCGCTGCACCTCGTGGTTACAAAACCAAACATGGTCTCATCAAAGATCATTTCACCGTGTCAACCATTGCGAAATTTCAGTCCACTGGATCTGTATTGGATATTCCTGGCAAAGGGAGAAAGTCTCTGAGTGATGGAAGAGCGCCCATTGTACAGAATGCCGTCGAGCAACTTCAGTCCCAGAGCACCGTGGCATCTTCGTCAGTAGCTCAGGTGTCTCAGTTGACCGGCATTCCCCGTGTCAGCATGCATCGTATTATGAGACACCACCTTCATCTCAACAAGATGGTGTTCCACCCTACTACTCAAACCAAGTGAGAACTTACCTCCGACAGTAATTTTCTCATGAGAGAGTCATTGCTCGTGGATTTCCAAACTTTTGGCCCGCAAGGTCACCCGATCCCACACCTCTGGATTATTGGTTTTGGGGCTTGATCAAAGCTTGCGTATATCATGAAAATAAACCGAAGAATTTGGTGGAGTGGAGAGTAAGAATTGAAGAAGTGTGTGCACAAGTGACGCTTGAAGAAGTTAAACATGCTGTGTCTTACATCTCATACCGCCTCCAAATTGTTATAGAAGAAAGGGGCAATTTTTATGTATTTTTTGTAATGCCGGCTTATTTATAGTAAACCTTCACAATGCATGTATGCTCACGTAAAAATAATAAAGTTTAAATCAATGTTAAAGTTTTAACTTGGGTATTATTTTTTGTGTCTATTATGAGACACCTTGTAGTTTCACCCCCAACTGCAGGTGAACATACACAAGAGACAAGTGTGTGAGGTGCAATACGCCTACCCGAAACAGATTGAACTATCGGGATTTGATATGAATATCGATTGTAGCCCTCAATTTGGGTTTAACGGATGAAGATTGCTTTTCAGAGCTTTCTTTCGACCGTGTGAATAATTTTCTGTAGTAATTGAGGTTAAATGTGGACATCAATATTTTATACAGCTGTAAAAAAGCTGCGTAAGTGTTGTCACGTGATTTTAGCGGCCGCAGTTTTGTTCACCCGACTTTGGAGATTACCGCACACTGAAGGTCGTTTCTGATTGGTGCATCAGTACAGGAGTGTCAGCTGATATTAGGGGGGAGCAGAACCTATGCATTGAAAGCAACAGCTTGGATGCAATTGAGCGCGCGATTTAGCCATGTCAGAAGATGTCTCGGGGTCCCCGTTCGATGGTAATGACCAGTGTAGTTGAGTTCTCTGGTAATGGATTTGATACCTCGCTGCCAGATCACTGTTTGACCTCCCCTGGTTATGCGGAGAAGCCGGTCAACTGGCATATGAAGCACGTGACCGAGCCAGCACAACCTATGGAATTCATATGTCTTGGACGAGTTAGATCTTCCGGAAACCATGGAGTACTACAACCTTACCGATCCGATGTCCCAACCAGATTCATGCTCCGAAGACATCGACAGTAAACACCAAAAGTCTTTTGACGTCCACGGAGCGCAGTGGCCAGGTTTATGACCCGTATAGCAATATGAGTGGCACCACAGCGTTGTAAACCCATACGCTTGACGGATAAGCTGCTGTTACGCCTACGCCATAGGTGATGCAGGTTCACAAAAGCTGATCTGGCCTTCCCAATCTGGACGGAAATATTATCTTTCGCGAGACCACCGGGAACGATACAGCTGCCCTGGTAAACAAATGTGTCTACTACCTCAATCGTTTCATCCGCAAGCACGAGGCCAGGGTTCGAGCCCACCCAGCATTGCAGTAGCACTTTGCAGGTATTAAGCGCGTATCAAACCGTGAGGCAGAAGTATTTAAACTATATAATATCGTTTGCATTAGCAAGGCATCAAATCCATGGATGGCTTTGTCACCTGCGTACGCCCCGGAAGAACTTTGACTCCATGGGTATAAGAGGCTGATAGTGAGTCTGTCATGACCGTGTCAATGACGAAGTTGAAGAGGAAGGATCAAAGAATACACACCTGTCTGAGACCACTTGATGTGGTGAACTCAGGCGAGAGCTTCACAGGACTGCGGGACAGAACGTACAGTGCCTGGAAGGATGATCAGGCATTTCTGGAGAACACATTTGCTCCATAGACACTCCCACAATGCCTGACAACTCACAGAGTCAAAGTCAAGTGAGCCTACCACTGTTGGTCGTTAGGAACAGTGTCGCTGTTCCAAAATCTGTCGATAGGTGATTCTCATGAATCTGCCTCACCCTGGATTCCTTCAAACTTCGAAGGATAAAACCAGTGAACACCGAGGGAAGAATGTATCTAGGAAAGAAGTGAACCTGCGAATTCGTGTGATAGTCGGGTATAAAGTGTACGATGTAAACACTCCATATTATCTTTGAATCCATTGAGTCTTGTTGTTACGCCCGAATGTTTAAACCTCGAATGAATGAAATACATCGACGTTTAGGCTACAACAGCCTCAGAATGATATCACAACACAACTCACCATTGGAGCTCATTAGGACTGATGGTTTATCGCATTCAGTCAGTTTCGTGGCTGTTTTTTGCAAATGGACGATCGTTTTAGCCCTCTTTGAACAGTTCACGTTTATCGCGTCAGGTTATTTGTTTTCCCTGTGCTCATCCCGTTGTGACACAGTATCCGTAAATGGGACCCTAACCCCCTCCAGAAAGGTAAACTCTGAAATGCCCAAAACAAGGGGGCTCGTTTTTTCTGCGGGGACTTGCTGATCTACCGGCAAAGTATCGATTTCACTGTAACACTGAAAATCAGTGGTATCAGCAAGCAGTCCCGAGAGCTGTACAATGATAACAACGGTTACTAACTGTCAAACTTGCCGCGTCCTTTCATTTAAACGGATTCTTCCGCTCACGGAAGAAGGTGGAATATAGTGAACCTGTTTCGCCTTCCACTAGGATCCCGACGCGTAACAGACTAATAACCTAATGAAAAGTACCCTCGGATTTTCTAATGGGATATAAATGTGGGGTATACAAGCTTGCCTTTATGAAGGAAACTACTCACAAGGTTACTGAAAATTCTTCGACAGTTCACGACCGGTTTCGCCCGTCTTGGGCCTCATCAGGTAGGCGAAGCCCATAAGTTTCCGTCAGCCTTATGCTCTACTTGAACCCAAATTGGGCTGTTTTCGAGCGATATATACTCATCTGCAAATCAATTTGGTTTTCACGAGAGACTCAACTGAATCAACAATGCATCCACAGCGAGCTTGTTCGTCGGAATTCGCTTGCAGCACATAATAAATTGTCCGAGATATATGGAGAGAAAGACGTACCAGGCTAATCAGAGAGCATTAGATAGCTTTGTGGTTTAGCGCGCAAACTGATTGACCGAAAGGTTCGTGATTAGAACTAAATCCAAGAATCTCGAGTGCTCCTGTTTAGGCTTTAATAACCTGACAGTGTCTCAGACTTCTTGCTTCCTATGCGTGTTGCTAGGCCTCGACAGGGTCTTACAGTTGAGCGATTATCCCAGGTCAACCATCCTACCTTTTCTAACATGGTAACAATTTCCAAAATCTTCAAGTGACATGTCCACGTAAGCAAAACACGGCGCCTAAGGATGGACTCGAACCAGCAAGACCCCGCCTACCGGAAAGATGCTCTAATGCCTGGGCTACCATGTTCAGGTAGCTGACCTTCACAACTGATCTGCCCCTCTTCTCCACCGGCATCATTAGATTTCCCACTTTGTGATATACCCATGGGAACAGACAGAATCTGGACGGTCTCAACCTGAACTCACCTGTACCGTTAGGATTCTCAAATGCAGATGAGCCTACAGCCTGCAGTGTTTCTGTATAGCATGAATCACATCTAGTGAGGATGTTCCCCCCCCCACTTCGCTCCAAATTGAAACCGACCATACTGTCATTCAAATGCCCTTAAATACCTGGTTCAAAGAAGTGGAACGTTTATTTTTACTGCATTTCCTCCAGTGAGCACTATTCACACTATCCTCGATCAGCATGTACACCTGAATTCAAGGAATACGGGACGTCGCTGTACTGAGTGGTTTACTAACCTGATCAACCTGTGCTTATTACTACGCTTAAATAAGCAGCTAGCTCACAATAGCTCACCTCTTTACTAAGAATTCTACAAAGACAAACACTTGGCAGCGATTTAGACGTGCTGTTGACAGTTTGTCTTATACTACTGACAGGAAGTATCAGTAGCATGATTCTAATCGATAAAGGTTGTCTCGCCAGCTGATCAGATCTCTTCGAGCCGTAAAAGTGACGACCTCAAGTGTTTTCTTTGCCTACACTTTTTGATTATCAACCCGGTGCTGGAAGCCTGTCATTTTTTCAGTAGAATCAAGCATGGGTTGAATGCCACACGACTCCAGAGTTGGTGTGCACCTGTAGGAACCATACCTAACTAGCCTAGACGTAACACACTACTTACAAGGTTGATGAAAACTCTTCGACCTTGTGAGTGGTATGTCGCGTACCAACTCGAACACCAGCACCCAGATGAAGAAACCCTCGTAAACGAGAAAGTCAGCTGATGAACATCCCGTCAAAAGTGAACGGACACACAAATGAACGTTTTTGGCGCAAATGCCAAACGGAGTTGAAGCTTTTCTGGTTTCCAGAGTGCAATACTCCACTAGTGTTTTGACTTGATGAACGGTAGTGCAACTCTGTATCGGTCCCTTGGTTTCCTGCTCCGCCCACTATGTTGCATCAGAAAGCACGGTAGCCCTATACAGTCCTTTATGGAGACAAAGGAAAGTTATTACGACTGTATTTATGAGGTAGTTACCGAGTGTTCCGTTAGGTCCGGCCGGAATCTCCGTGAGGGGGCGAGAAGCGTCGAGTCAGAGATGGTTGATCCGGATTGGCTGGCATTCCGACCAATCAGGGCATGCCTTCGTTTGGCCCGTGTCCTGCACGCGACACATCCGTCCAAATGATGTGATGCTCACTTATTAGGAACGGCTGGCCTCCAAAAAACCTATTCTGAAGTTCACTCAGTTTCCATTCATTAAAGTTATGTTTTTGAATACGGTCAACACTGCTGCCTTGACCAATCGTACGCCTCTAGTTCTACGACACTCACTTCCATCTGTTTCCACTCCAAGCTGAGTACAACAGATGGAAAGTACATTGGGTGATACAATCCATCTCACACGGATTTCGCAAAAGCATTATCTTCTCTCGTTTATTAGCGACGGAAATGTCAAGCCAAATGACTCTCAAATGCTCCCATTTCCTGATCATTAGCCGGTCACGGAAGAATCCCTCGATCGATTGTTTTGAATAACCTAGAGGCAGTTGGGCTAGACTGTTTGACTCAATCACACGAGTCACACGACTTTTTGAGTTTATCCTTTTATTGTGACAGGCAACACAGCTGCTTCAAGTATCCCATTAACTGGGCTCAAATCCCATTCGGGGTCGAGGATGACCTATGCTTCTTTCCATTCTGTTCTTTGGACTGACCAGAAGGAAGGGTGGTTAAGCGAGTAATGTGGATAGAAAATCTAAAAGTGTTATAACAAACTGCTGTTCGCAATTCAGTTCATGGTGCCAGAAAGAACTCACCGACAAGGGCACGAAACCATCAACATCGATCGTGCTTCCTTGAGATGCCTGAACACTGATCACATTCGGTAGTGCTTCTGTGGCGCGAATGAACACTCATCTGCTTTTGCTAAATTGATTGGATGATTGACTGGCCTGGATGCATGCCAGCTTTCCTACTGAGGTTTTGGTGGAGTTTTAGCGTCTCACTAAGTTCCGGGTGTTCAGGAATCTGACCTTCCTGATACAGAGTTTTTAGGAATCCACGATGTTAAGGAACCTTCTGTCTCTATGTACTGTCCCATGATTTCACCACGTCCCATACTTGCATTAATGAGAGTCAGGCTTTATTTCCAGGTAACCTGACTAGATACACACACCATTCAACAGCGGGGCCTCTTATACACACAAATGTTTGTGTGTGTCTGTAACATACACCCATGACACGTTCCGGTAACTGAGCAAGCCTTTCAGCGCATTTCGGAAGCCATCCTGCCTGAGGACAACTCTTTTTCAGGGGACCGGGGACCGTGAAACTGTGATCCGAGCACTTCAAGCTGTCTCCATTATAACTTGCAACCTATCCCGGGAAGTCTTGAAAACGGTCTTGGAGTATATAAGTTCAAAAAGAGGCAGGTGATCATCCGTATTTGTCAAGACTTTTGTTAGGTTGAAGTCATTGTCAAAGATATCTACCGTAGATGCTCCTTTCCGCCAAAAAACACAAGGCGATCGATGACTGCACAGCGTAAAGGAACGTTTTTGAACCAAAGCTAGGGTCTACCTGGAAGCACCTTCAAGGTCAGTTTCTATTTTTATACTTAGGCATACTACTCACACCTGCGTGTCATTCAATAGTGGGTCTTCCCTCGTTAGTTCCGTTTTCTAATTCCTTGGTCTATGGCTGTTCTTGAGGTATTATTGGTTTACTAGCTTTCGGCTTAGAGAGCAAATTGTTTGTCAAAGACTGTCACATCCCCCCTTTTCGATGGGCATTGGATTATCAGCCATTTTGCTACAAATATGGGTTTGTATCCAGAAAGCATGTTTTATTCTTGTTTGTTTTATTGGAAAGGAGCGGAGAGGTCAGGCATGTGACCGCTTGGTTAGCAGCTATGGTCTGCTGCTGTTCTCTCCGTATTTTCAGACTACTCATGAGTAGCTAAGATGTCATGCATTCATCGAATCCTGGTGAGATCGGCCTAGCAGGTCGAGAATCCGATTCTGAGCGGACGGGTGTGAAGAACCATTGGGAAGAAGGAGGCTGTGGAAAAGAATGATGGATCCTCAGAACTGCCTCACTTTATAGATCTGTGCTTTCTTTGTGTAGTCCAATAGAGCAGCGGTTTTCAACCTTTTGTCCAAGCTCTTCTCCCTTCTGGTTTCACATTCAGGACGGAAAACTGTTCACTTCATAAGCTGTGGATAACGATTCTGTGGGAAATCGTTGAAGTAGGCTCCCGCTTTTAGAGTTTTTCACTCATTTGCGGACTGTGCTGGTGTTAGTGAAGCCCTCAGCCAAATATCAAATCTGTCCCTGGTTTATATCACTCTTCGACCGAAGGTGCTGTGCAATGGTCGCCACGCGTTCCAGTTGGAATGATGTTGGGCCTATCGAAGTATTCGATTACAATTTTCAAACCGACTGTCGGCAACGGGTTGCTCAATGGATTCTAGGGGCTCTCTCCAAAGATCGGTGAATCGGGGGCGATGAGTGACCGTGGTGTGGTGACAGAATAAGCTGTCAATGTGATGCATATTTTGCCGTCTTGTTAAACATGATTTTCCACGGACAACTAACTATCAGTTTAACCCTGACTTATGTTCTGAAGTTAAAAACATCCTATTGGAGTGGTATTGATTTGTTGGAGATTGTAGGGTGACGTCAATGTCAAAGACGGAACAGCCATAGTTTTTTGCTTGTTTCAGGCAGTGAAAGATGTTACTTTTAAATGATCTTATCGTGGAATAGCTTCCACAAAGCTCTATCGTGCTAGAAGGTTGGTACAAGTAGCCTTACAGTTGTACTTGTCATCTGCAGCCCTAATTTTGTTTTATCGACAGAGGTGTTACGGAGAGTGTCGATAAGTGGACCGGAAACCGCGCACGACACTCCTACTTTGAATGCCTCCAAAACCAGAAAATTCGACCTTAGATTAGAGAGAACACGCTCCCAGCAATTATACGAGTAAACTCATCTTGAGGATAGCAGTAGCTGTGTGCTATCATTCAAACATTACTCTTGATAGTACCTATTTCTCCAAAACGTCAGACGTTTGGTAATGTTGCTGAAGTCCTCTACTTTGAACTTTCTGGAGAGTTCTCACAATCTTCGTAAGGAATATGACGTCTAGGTTGAGGGATTGTGCGCGATGTACAATAGTGATACCATGGGCCTTGGAATAAAACGACAAATATGACTGCGTCGCGTCTGTAGTGAGTACTGTTCACCTAAGACGATCGCCTGCCAGATCAGTCGAAAAACGTTTGTTCAATTAAGCCGGTTACTGATAACTCACACATGGTCAAACAGGAATGAACTCCGAGGAATACACTCATTTGCAAATCAATTTGGTTTGCACAGGAGAATCAATTGAATCTCTCGTTTATGATATTCCACAACTGAATGTACTGCACACAAGCCGCCTCATGTTTCATGTTTCGAGATGTCACAATATACGCTTTCATAAAGGAAACTACTCACAAGATTGCTTAAAACTCTCCCACAGTTCACGACTGGTTTCGCCCTTCCACTTCGGGCTCATCAGGTAGGCACAGTCCCAGAGTTTCCGTCAAACTTATGATCTACTTGAAGCCAAATCGGACAGATTTCAGCGAACAGCTCACAGCAACCTGATAAGTAGTGCACGGTTGATTATGCATGGCATAACCTATCGGACTATCACGAAGAGTTTTTAGGAACCTTGTGAGTAGTTTCCTTTAGGAATGAACTCCATTACCTTATCTACAAATGACCATGGATAGGCAATCATCAATCGAGAGGTAATCCCATCGTGAGAACAACTTGACGTATCAAATAAAAAGGTCATCTCTGTTATCACAGATCTCTGGTGCGTTGTCATTTAGACAGTGAATAAACACTATTAAATTGTTAACTGAACGACGTTTAACAATATTTGCACGTCTGCCTCAGGAAAAGTCGCGTTTTTTAACGAAATTTTGGTCACACAAGATCAGGATTTACCACATAACCTGTTTGAACCTAGCCAGAGGATTATTTGGGACCGTCATTCAAGAAAAAAACCAACCTGTGTACACTCTACGTAAACAAACTGTTGTCATGGTTTCACCAGCTCTTCTGCGCATTCGGTGCGTGTCAGCGTGTCGTGAATTTGCACCAATCAGCTTTCGACTTTCATGAGAACTCACTTAACCTAAAGCTAGACATTCAGTGCGCTGGTTAGCCCTCTTGCCACGCTGCAAGACTAACCGTCAATGTGATCACAACTCGTAGGTACCTGATGACAAATCGCACCCCGATTGCTACTACACTCTTCTTGTTGACTGAACGATGAAAGCAACCGAACTTATCGATCGGAGTAATCGATTGGCTGTGTTCAAATACAGATCGCACGCCACTACACCGAGCAGATATGGGCAGAAATTTGTCTTTTGTAAACTGTCGGAAAACACTGACCCGGATCTGTTTGAGCTAATTTTATCAACATTTTCTTATTTTTCGTGATGGCTTCACGACAAAGACATGACGGTTCAGGGAAAGCAAGAGCTTCGAAGTCTGATCTGATCAACCATGACCACAGAAATGAGTAAGTATAACATTTCGTTTTGTTGAAAGCTGGAAAACACTTTGGTTTTTTAACATACCTATTCAGTTGAGACTCATTGTTTGGGTGTGACCTCTCAGGTATGAAGTACATGGTGCCACCCAGGTGGGTTAAGCTTTTTCTGTCCGTCAGGTAAAATTACACGCATGTCCACTGGTGGGCACTTGAATGGAGTTGGATAAAGTCCCATTTCTTTACGTTTGCTGTGCAGCTTTTTACGTTACTGTTCGGCTTATTTCAAACGGTGATTAAAGTCTTGTCGACCAGTGTATTTGACCTTGAAGTCATCCATGGACGAAGAGAGAGAGAAATGAGGTTGGATTGTTTGCTTCCATATCCCTCGTTTACCAAGGGTTAGCTTTCGGGTCAGAAGATCTCTGCTTCGTAATGTCTGATGCTTCTTTCTTTACCCCAAGACCGTTGATACAAGCAAGTATTCGGTCTTATTTGGTGGCGATTGCCTGAGCCACCAACCTGATAAAGTGCTTTTCACATATCCTGGTAATTTGTGTCATCAAGTTAGAATTCGGCGCAAAGTATAGTTAGCCGACCGATTTCTGCCCTTTGTTTGACTTGTTAGCCATTCAAACTTGAGTGTATTTTCGTTCGTACCCTAGAGTGGCTTCAACGTGCCTAATTGCCACGCCACCTGAAGGGAACACGAGGGGTGGGATACTGCCAGGTTGCTCAAGCATGGACAGGAAAAACCGAGAGGCAGAGGTCGGATTCGAACCAAGGACCTTCCGGTCAGTAAATCCGCGCCCTAACCACTTGAACCATCTCGCCATGCGTATTCATGGAAGACTGAGCAATCGGAGGGAGAAAGCATTGACTTTGATGAGGTGCTGGTGTCGTTCAGTGAGCAGTCCGGTTTTTCCGAGCATTCGCAAATCTAATGAAATAAAACCATGACTACTTATTTCCTAGACAGCTCGATATAGCTCAGTGGCTAAGGCGTGAACTTACTGATCAGAAGTTCTGTGGTTCGAATCCAACCCTGTCATCTCAACCGCTTGGTGAAAACAGGCAGTATCCCAGCTTTCGCGCTTCATTCGAGGGTCTGGCATCTAGGTACTGAAAAGGTGGTACGGCTGGACGATTATTATTAATATTATTACTATTATTACCACACATTTGGGGGGGGGATGCAGTACTCCAGAAAGCCACGTGAGAGGCGCAATTTGGTTTCAAGTAGAACATGAAATTGACGGAAACCCGGGGACTGCACCTACCCGATGAGCCCGAAGTGGAAGGGTGAAACACGTCGTGGACTGTCGAAGAGTTTTCAGTAACCTTGTGAGTAGTTTCTTTCATGAAAATATACTGCAATATTTCGAATATCGTGCCAACTAAATCATGAGGCGGCCTGTGTGAAGCACATTCAGTTGTAGAATATCATAAACGAGAGATTCAATTCAGTCCCTCGTGAAAAACAAATTGAATTATCAAATAGTGTATTTCTCGAGAATAGCATCTTCTTAGAAGGGGGAGTTCGGATTCCACACTCAGGCAACTGGCTCATCCCCCAGAGACACTTGAGCAGAACGTGCAACGACACTCATGGTGAACGTACGTATTTGAGCAGAACTTTTGTGCAACGACACTCATGGTGAACGTACGTACGATGACGCCACCTATGCTTCACTCAATCAGTCAACCAGTTTCACAGCTCTAAGCAAGCGCTTGTGTTTCCGGCTCCAATTCTACCAGTTACACTTCGATGTAACACCGCCATTCCGATCAACTTAGCTGTGTTCGCGTGCACAACCTGACTACGCCTTAGCTTCATGACACTTTTTGGGCCTCCTTTAGTCTTTTGTCTGCAGTCATCGCGCCACCATCGTCAAATGTGCAAAAAACACTTGGTACACGATACAAACTCTATCGATTAACTAAACAACTTGAAAAGGGTCACAGAAGTCCAAACCCACTATCGGCTCGGGATACCTATGGCGTCAGAAATGCTTATCCCTTAACCTCAAGGGACGTGCGTATCAAGTTGTTTTGTTGTATGGTTGAGACTTGGCCTATTCGAGCAGCGGAACTAAGACGTCTTCGGGTGTTCGACAATCGTTGTCTCTGAACCACAGCTCGCGTGGGTTGGTGTCAGCGAATCCGTAATGAGGCAGTTAGAAAGCGCGTTTTCGGTTGTGCAACGGGTACTTCCACTGAAGAATGTGTCCAGCGCCAGAAGCTGCGTTGGTTGGGACATGTGTTGCGTATGCCGAACCATCGTTTGCTGAAGAGAGTGCTGTTTTCCGTGCCCAACTCAGAGTGGTGTTAACAGGGAGGTCGCCAACCCTTGATTTGGCGGAGGAGTATGAAGGAGATCACAAAACGTTTGGGTGCTGTCGGTGCTACTCGCGTTCCAGGATGGGGACCGCGTGATCCTCAGTGTGCCTGGTTGGAGACACTACAAAATATGGCTGCCAACCGATGTCAGTGGCGTTCTTGTTGTCAGTTTCTATTCAGATCGCCTGAGTGAGTGTCTGGAGGTGTAGGCACCTCGGAATGATTGTGTTAAGCTAGCACTAAGTCCCTTGCCCGTCCACCTCTATTCTTTTTTTTACAATAAGGCTTTCAAATAAATCATGGTTGTACGGCAGTGAAGCATCGGTGCTGAACACGGATGTCATGCTGCCGATGGTAATGATCGCCTCGAGAACCCGCGATTCGGTAATCGACACCTAACTATAAGATGGTGGCGCGCGAACAGCTTATAGGTCACAAAGTTCTGAGCGGTATTCTGTAAAGTCTGATCCAAAATGGTTGTTGATTCACATTTTATACAAAATTTGTCTGTCTTTTCATTGAAGTTCGCAATAGATCAGAAACGCTTGAGCCATTCGACGTCTGCTGAATCACCCTGCTATGTTCACACCACACCAATGCTGTCCTGCAATTGGTGGTAATTTCCCATCCGTTATCTTGCTCACGTGACAGATTGATCGATAGCTCACCACCACGGTTAAAAAACTGAAAAGCTTTTGGTTTATTCGCTCCACCTGAACAGAGGTTTTATGATTGTCTCTAGGATGCAGCCTTTTGTTTTACAAATACCTATTGGTTGCCATGCTCGCACGTGTCCAAAAAGGTGTTTAAATTACGTCGTTGTTGTGTCTTGGTACAGGAAGTCTGGATGACATATTTCCAGAAATGCCGGCGCAGATCCCATAAGAAATATTTGGTTTTGTTTAGTTGACACAACAATGCTAAAAACCCGGTAGCGTTTTTTGTAGATTGATGGCGCATTGCTGCGTTTTTAGCGCACCCCCCTATGAGCCTCGAATTTGCACGTATTTGAAACGCTCAGAAGATGGTTGGTTCAACGAATTTGAAGACAATGCTCATGATAGAAACGGTTGGGAGATGGTGAGTTCGAATGAGAGTGGACGTCGAATCTGAACTGATGTGTAATAAGTCTAGAGAAATATACCTGAGTAGAGCTCAGCTGTGTCATGCAATCATAGCGGCGAAAACTTCACCGGATCTTGTTGATTGTTGATCGATTTGTTCCGTACGTACCCGCGCCCAGCGATTCGTCACTGATAAATCACGTGAGGCTGCCTACAGGCATTTCCTTTCGGGTATGCAAGTAGCCACGTCCCCTTAAATCAGGTTTGGTGCGCTATGCAGACCGGAGTGCAGAACTTGTTTGCTTATTGCAGGACTTGGCAAGAACCAGACCATGTCTCATTGGGGTAAAACTTTTGAAGACGGGCTGCGACCTAATCGATAGTGAGTTGAAATCCTCGTCTAGAGTGAAGTAGCAGAACACCTTTCTTGGTGTCCTCTTGCTCTAAACCGAAGTGTGTCATAAACTTTCCAAAAAGATGGCACCTCTTCGTGAGAACGGGGGAACGAATTACGGTTAGTAGAAAGACGATACTATTTTGTGTGGGGTCTAGCAGCGTTGAGAACTACTGAAATAGGTTCTACATGTGAGTAGACTGTGGATAGGCTGCAGAAAAGCCATTGCTGCATTTGTGTGCCCGAAATAGAAACTAGCTATCGCCTTACCTTCACACATGATGACGCTGATTCCTGAGCATCTACTCCGCTTCTTGAGTCGCGAAAAGCTGTTTAAAACAAGATCACCAATGAATGATTCTTTTTGTCGCTGTCTGTGGGCACCGATTAATAAGAGCTGAAATTGAAGGGTGAGAGATGAATAAAGGAAACTACTCACAACGTTGCTGAAAATTCTTCGACAGTTCACTCCCAGTTTCGCCCTTCTTGGGTCTCATCAGGTATGTGCAACTCCTGAGTTTCTGTCGGAGAGTTTTCAGCAACTTTGTGAGTAGTTACTTTTATAAAACTATACTTTGAAATCTCGAATATCGTACCAAATTGGATACAAGGCGGCCTTTGTGTAGCACATTCACTTGAAGGATACCATAAACGAGAGGTTCAGCTGATCCTTTCATGATAACCAAATTGGGTGTATTTGTCGCAGAGAGATGAACGTATGACCGCGGACAACTGAGGGACAAGTTAGACGGTGGGCAGGTTGGGTGGGAGGACTACCAATAGGACACGTCGTATGAGAACCGCAAAGAAAAATGCATCATACTTAGTCAAAGAAAGCTGTGCGGCTGTTAGTTCAATACCTGTAAGTTGGTGTCATATGACACGCTGTTTGGAGAACGAGGACGATGGTCTTGGAATGGTTTAGTTCTTTCAGTTCGGTGACACACTACTCGAGGTGGCTCATTAGCATTTGCTGTTCTGTGTGCCAAGAATTTACACTCCTTGGTCAATAAGAATAATATATTGAGAAAAGAATGGAATATGAAATCACTCACTACTCAAACAGAGATTCAGTTCGGCCAAGTTCATCTACGTCCTCAGTATAAGCGGAAATATTCTGGTGTCTCTTCTCTCCATCACCATCACTGTTGTCATCATCATCATCCTCATCATCATCGTCATCATCCTCATCATCATCATCATCATCGTCATCATCATCATCATCATCATCATCATCATCATCATCGTCATCATCAT